GTACTTGTCGATGCCTCTACAGAACTCGTAACTGCAAGTGAAACAGATCCTATACTTGAAACCACTGTTGATGTCTCAGCACTTCTTGATGATATCGTATCAGCAACTGAAGTTGAACTTGTCGCAGCTATTGTATTTGAAGTGGTCGGAATCACTGAAGAAGGCAACGATGATGTAGCTCCAATACTAGTTTGCAAATCAGATGTAATTATTCCTGTTGATGAAGATCCATAGGAGGACACAATCGAAGTATCAGAAATGCTTGATGATATCGAAACAGGAACACTAGTAGAAGCTAGTGCACTTGGTATACTCGATGTTGGTATTGTAATTTCAGTGCTAGACGATAACATTACTTGAGTACTTGTCGAAGCCTCTACAGAACTCGTAACTGCAAGTGAAACAGATCCTATACTTGAAACCACTGTTGATGTCTCAGCACTGCTTGATGATATCGTATCAGCAACTGAAGATGAACTTGTCGCAGCTATTGTATTTAAAGTGGTCGGAATCACTGAAGAAGGCAACGATGATGTAGCTCCAATACTAGTTTGCAAATCAGATGTAATTATTCCTGTTGATGAAGTTCCATAGGGGGAAAAAATCGAAGTATCAGAAATGCTTGATGATATCGAAACAGGAACACTAGTAGAAGCTACTGCACTTGGTATACTCGATGTTGGTGTTGTAATTTCAGTGCTAGACGATAACAGTACTTGAGTACTTGTCGATGCCTCTACAGAACTCGTAACTGCAAGTGAGACAGATCCTATACTTGAAAACACTGTTGATGTCTCAGCACTGCTTGATGATATCGTATCAGCAACTGAAGATGAACTTGTCGCAGCTATTGTATTTGAAGTGGTCGGAATCACTGAAGAAGGCAACGATGATGTAGCTCCAATACTAGTTTGCAAATCAGATGTAATTATTCCTGTTGATGAAGTTCCATAGGGGAAAACAATCGAAGTATCAGAAATGCTTGATGATATCGAAACAGGAACACTAGTAGAAGCTACTGCACTTGGCATACTCGATGTCGGTGTTGTAATTTCAGTGCTAGACGATAACAGTACTTGAGTACTTTTCGATGCCTCTACAGAACTCGTAACTGCAAGTGAAACAGATCCTATACTTGAAACCACTGTTGATGTCTCAGCACTGCTTGATGATATCGTCTCAGCAACTGAAGATGAACTTGTCGCAGCTATTGTATTTGATGTGGTCGGAATCACTGAAGAAGGCAACGACGATGTAGCTCCAACACTAGTTTGCAAATCAGATGTAATTATTTCTGTTGATGAAGTTGCATAGGGGGACACAATCGAAGTATCAGAAATGCTTGATGATATCGAAACAGGAACACTAGTAGAAGCTACTGCACTTGGTATACTCGATGTTGGTGTTGTAATTTCAATGCTAGACGATAACAGTACTTGAGTACTTATCGATGCCTCTACGGAACTCGTAACTGCAAGTGAGACAGATCCTATACTTGAAACCACTGTTGATGTCTCAGCACTGCTTGATGATATCGTATCAGCAACTGAAGATGAACTTGTCGCAGCTATTGAATTTGAAGTGGTCGGAATCGCTGAAGAAGGCAACGATGACGTAGTTCCAATACTAGTTTGCAAATCAGATGTAATTATTCCTGTTGATGAAGTTCCATAGGGGGAAACAATCGAAGTATCAGAAATGCTTGATGATATCGAAACAGGAACACTAGTAGAAGCTACTGCACTTGGTATACTCGATGTTGGTGTTGTAATTTCAGTGCTAGACGATAACAGTACTTGAGTACTTGTCGATGCCTCTACAGAACTCGTAACTGCAAGTGAAACAGATCCTATACTTGAAACCACTGTTGATGTCTCAGCATTGCTTGATGATATCGTATCAGCAACTGAAGATGAACTTGTCGCAGCTATTGAATTTGAAGTGGTCGGAATTACTGAAGAAGGCAACGATGATGTAGCTCCAATACTAGTTTGCAAATCAGATGTAATTATTCCTGTTGATGAAGTTCCATAGGGGGATACAATCGAAGTATCAGAAATGCTTGATGATATCGAAACAGGAACACTTGTAGAAGCTACTGTACTTGGTATACTCGATGTTGGTGTTGTAATTTCAGTGCTAGACGATAAAAGTACTTGAGTACTTATCGATGCCTCTACGGAACTCGTAACTGCAAGTGAAACAGATCCTATACTTGAAACCACTGTTGATGTCTCAGCACTGCTTGAAGATATCGTATCAGCAACTGAAGATGAACTTGTCGCAGCTAATGAATTTGAAGTGGTCGGAATCACTGAAGAAGGCAACGATGATAAAGCTCCAATACTAGTTTGCAAATCAGATGTAATTATTCCTGTTGATGAAGTTCCATAGGGGGAAACAATCGAAGTATCAGAAATGCTTGATGATATCGAAACAGGAACACTAGTAGAAGCTACTGCACTTGGTATACTCGATGTTGGTGTTGTAATTTCAGTGCTAGACGATAACAGTACTTGAGTACTTGTCGATGCCTCTACAGAACTAGTAACTGCAAGTGAAACAGATCCTATACTTGAAACCACTGTTGATGTCTCAGCACTGCTTGATGATATCGTATCAGCAACTGAAGATGAACTTGTCGCAGCTATTGTATTTAAAGTGGTCGGAATCACTGAAGAAGGCAACGATGATGTAGCTCCAATACTAGTTTGGAAATCAGATGTAATTATTCCTGTTGATGAAGTTCCATAGGGGGACACAATCGAAGTATCAGAAATGCTTGATGATATCGAAAGAGGAACACTAGTAGAAGCTACTGCACTTGGTATACTCGATGTTGGTGTTGTAAATTCATTGCCAGACGATAAAAGTACTTGAGTACTTGTCGATGCCCCCACAGAACTTGTAGCTGGAAGTGAAACAGATTCGTTCCTGGAGGCCACTGTGGATTTCTCACCGCTACTTGATGATATCGTATCAGGAACTAAAGATAAAATTGAAACACTAGTAGTCGTTGTTGAGTTTGTTATTTCTGACGTTTTTATGATAGTTTCGAAGGTTTTTAGTAAACCTTGATGATTCGTATTTGATGGAGTTGGTGACTCCATAATAACTGTATTTTCTGTAATTTGGGAAATTGATGTAGCATATGATATTGACTGAACTTTACTTTCTTGTATTGATTGATTATTTTTCATTGCTAATACTGTTGTCGTTATTGAAAATTCTGACATATAAGGATTTGTTGAGGTTGCAAGTGTTTGTTCTGCCACAGAGGAAAGCATTGTAGATAGTTCTCCTAACATTGATGTGGAAGTAAGTGTCCAGAGGTTGTTCGTTTTTGCTATTGTTATAAATCCACTTGTAGTTGCAAATTGCTCCACTGGCAAAGTACTTGAATATTCTAGAAAAAGATGAACTTTATTCCATTGTTTAGATTGTTTTTTTAAATTCTTTGACTGCCTGGTGTTTTCTTAAATTAAAATAATAGCTTAATTCATTAATATATCAATTATATATAATAATACCTTTGGGGATAATACCATGTCTAGCGACTACTTGGGTAAAGTTTTTACGACGAATCAGTGACAATTTTTAGGGTCAAATACATTTTATCAGTTTCTAAACTTTATATGTTCATACGTCAACAATATTTGCGCAAAAAAGGTAAAAATTTGTATCTGAACTCAAAGTTTGATGGTAAAAACTACTCTAAGCTGAGCAGTTTCTTGAAATGTATTTTTTATTAATTTTCAAACAAGACAGTCAGTTAATGAATTGAAAGTGCGTTTCCAGTCAAAATTGTTAGATCCTAGTTTCAGTCAAAATGTATGAAAAACAGGTCCCAGTTATATCCCAGTTATAAAAGTAACATCCCTTTTTCTCTGGTGACTTTAAGACATGCCTAATTGGAGAAAGCTAGTGTTCATTTCCTATTCAGGATTTTGCTTTGATGTTGCAAATCAAAAAATGGCATAAATCTCCATTCAAAAAAAGGCGATAAAGGTCTTTGATGCATTACCTATAAAATTACGTTGTTAATTCACTTTTTATTCATTTGTTTTTATCTACTCTGGTAGAGCGAAAGTTCGTAAATTTAAAATTTTTCTAGAAAGATTCAGTGCAGAGAAGCAAGAAATTATTAAACTTGATTATTTAAGGCTCAAACTGAGTGTTTTGGAGTTTTGTAGTAAAGTATGAGCTGTGCTTGCAAACGCTGATAGTACAAAAGCTATTTGATGGGAAGTGTTATTTGTTGTATCAGATAATTGATCAGGGGGGGCCTGCCCGGCAGATTTAGAGTATAATCTGATGGGGGTAAAAAGCTGTAGTCAAAATGTACTTGGGAGTACTTTCTATGTCTTGCAAATTGAATAAAATATACTTTGCAAGCAAGAAATCTTTGAGCATTATTAATAGATTCATTTTTTTTATCTCCGTTACATTTTTAAGCCAGCTTACTGTTTTAAGTTCTGTTTTATGAATCTGTTTTTATGAAAGTAACTTTCGCTCACTTATTCTATTCAGATGCAATCTGCCTAGTTTTTTTTCCAAAGAGAATACATAGTAGACAAAAGTGCCATTTAGTTGCTTTGAGTGTGCAATTCAAGTGTTGTCCCCTCTGAACAACAGTTTTGAAATTCATGCAGACGTACACCTAGTCTCTATTCCAGTTAACATGTTTGGTGAGTTAGGCACTCTGTGTATGATTATAGTGAAGCTATATATACATTTAAAGTTCTGTTTTGTCTTTATATCTGGCTTATTACAACCAAGTAATTAATGAGCCAATAATACATAAATTTCATATCTTTTCAATGAATTTGTTAATGAGGAAATGCAAATTTTAGAGCTGGTTTTTAAACATTCTGCGTGAATTTATACTTATCCGTAATCTGTCAAGCTAGCAGCCTTCAGATATAAGTTCCATGTCTGTTATAGTGTTTCAATTGTCTGTTATAATGTTATAATGGTTTTAATAAAGTATTTGGCTCAAAAGTTTTGTTTTCACCACTGATTCTAAAAAAATTTTTAAAGGCTTCAGATTTGGTTGGAAGGTAATAAACTCTCCCTTAATGTAGCCAAAACGCAAAGCATGATCCTTGGTTTCTCGAGTAATTTGAAAAAACATTTCATGGACAATTGAGATCCTGTGATCAATCTCCATATAAACGAGGACAACCTGGATATATGATTGGATCAAATAAGTATCTGGGCATTCAGATTGATTCAGAACTTAAGTGGAAAGAACATATTACTTTTTCTATAGGCAAGATATCCAGAGCAGTGGGCATGCTTAAATATGCTAAAAAATATCTCTATTAGAAATTGTAAAAAAACATGTATACAAGTATAGTTGAACCGCATTTTCAGAAACTGCTGCTCGGTGTGGGGTTGTTGTGGAGAAACCCTGCTCGATAAGCTGCAAAAGCTGCAAAACCGTGCCGCACGAACCACTACTAAAAGCTCTACTAACAGCATCATCCCTTCCATTGATTGGAAGCCTAGGCTAGGGTGGTTAACTATAAAAGAAATGATTGAATTTGAAACTGCAATTGCAGTTTACAGGTCTCTCCAGGGATTAGCTCCTGGATATACGCAGCTAATGTTTACAAAATTGTCAGAAAACAGTTCCTCTGGAATGAATGCTGATGGATGGCGGAGAATTCTAGTATCCAAAAATTTTGAAAAGACGGGTGAAGAACTGAAAACAGCTTTAGCAAAATTCACACGCATACTGTGCACAAGAGATATCAACAAAGGCTCGATTGAAGCATTTGTTTCCTGTCGCTTGGTCCCTCTTGACAAGAATCCTGGAGCTCGACCAATCGGTATTGGAGAAGTATTGAGAAGGATCATTGGAAAATCAATTATCCGTGTCATTAAGCCTGATATACTCGAGAGTGGAGAATCTCTACAGTTATGCACTGGATTACCTTCAGGCTGCGAGGCTGCTGTACATGCAATGAAAGATATATTTGAAGAGGAAGAAACTGATGGCCTGCTTCTAGTGGATGCATCAAATGCCTTTAATAGCTTAAATAGAGAGGCACTATTGCATAACATCAAATATATATGTCCTTCAATGGCTCAATATGTAAATAACTGCTATGGAAAACCATCTCGTCTCTTTATCACAGGAAGTAAAGAAATACCATCTGCCGAAGGAACGACCCAAGGCGATCCATTTGCTATGCCTGTTTATGCAATTGGAGTTATGCCACTTCTGTCATTGATAAAATCAGCTGAAAGCAGGGTAAAGCATGCAGCTTATGCAGATGATCTTGGTGGTGCAGGGACGTTACTTCACTTAAAATCGTGGTAGGACAATGTTCTACACTATGGTCCTTTGATTGGTTATCATCCCAATGCGTCAAAATCATGGTTGGTAGTGAAAGAAGAGAACTATGAGCAAGCTTGCGAGATCTTTGGCAACACTCAGATCAATATCACAACATCAGGACAAAAATACTTGGGTTCATATATAGGGACGGCCAATGATAAATCAGATTATGCAAACAAAGTAGTGAATGGCTGGATTGAAGAGTTAAAAGTACTATATAGAATAGCACGCTCAGAGCCGCATGCAGCATACACTTGTTTTGTTAGTGGATTTCGTCATAGGATAACTTATTTTACTAGAGTCATCCCTGATTTTTGCAAAGCACTGAAATTGCTCGATGCTTTCATAAATGAACAGTTTTTACCGGTGTTAACTGAAGGCTATCACTGCTCCGAAATTGAGCGAAAACTAATCAGTCTTCCGGTACGTTTTGGAGGACTTGGCATGCCAATATTTTCTGAGATAGCTCATCAAGAATATGCTTTTTCAAAGAGAGTGACCAGTCAGTTATCAATGAATATCAAGCAACAAGCAACTGAATTAAGGCTTAACAGCAATGAAATGAAGAGAACGAAAATTGAAATTGCCCATGAAAGAACAAAATCGCATGAGGAGAAACTTGCACTGCTAAGAGAATCTATGACACTCGATCAACGCAAAGCAAACGAGCTGTCTTGTATGAAAGGTGCGTCTTCATGGCTCACTTCTCTTCCTTTGAAGGCTGAAAATTTTGTTCTCAACAAGCGTGAATTCCACGACGCAATCCAATTAAGATATAGATGGCATCTAAAGTTCATGCCAACTATTTGTGTATGCGGAAAACACTTTTCCGTTGACCATGCGATGTCTTGTCAAAAAGGTGGATACATTCATCATCGACACAATGAAGTACGTGATCTACTCGGCAAGTTAGCAACAGAAATTTCAAATGATGTTAGAATTGAGGCACCTCTACAACATCTCAGTGGTGAAAATCTCCCAAGAAATTCCAACATATCAGAAGAGGCAAGGCTTAACATCAGCATACGTGGCTTCTGGCAGAAGGAACAAAGTGCATTTTTTGATGTAAGGGTATTCAACCTATTCGCACCGTCGTACAGAAACCAGAAACTAAACAACACTTTTGCAGGGAATGAAAGAGAGAAGAAACGCGATTACTGTCAAAGGGTTTTACAAGTTGAGCATGGTTCTTTTACGCCATTGATTTTCGCTCACAGTGGTGGTTCAAATAGAAAAACTGAAAAGTTTATATCGGTTTTATCTACGAAGATATCAGAGAAACGTGATCTGTCAATTTCACTGGTGACTATTTGGATTCGTACCAAGCTGTCATTTGCGCTACTTCGAAGTGCCATACTGTGCATACGTGGTTCCAGAAATAGGCAAACAAAAGTTAAAGTGGACACCGCCAACATAGAAATTGTAGAAACAATATCCCGGATTGATTAGTTAAAATTGTTGGGAAAAAATAATAAGATTCAAATTTTTCAAGTTTTGTTCTAAACATGTGTGAACCGGCGGCCTTTCGGTATATAAACAGCGCCAAATGTTGAATCATTGATGAGAAAAAAAATCAATCAATAAAAAACTTTATTAATGTGTCAAAAAAATATTTAGCTTGCAAGCTAATTGGGGACACATAAGCTCGATTGGGGACACATAATTGGGGACACATAATTCGGAATATTTAGCTTACAAGCTAATTTCTTTTTGTTTCTGGTCATTTCTTGAAGACAGAGGTATATGCTAGGAAAAGAGGAACAATATGGATTGCATTGACAGATGAATTAAGGTCATCTTTCCTGGGTAACATTCCACACACAAACCACTCTGGGTATTTGAGAAATGAAACCTGGGTAACGTAAAGCCCTACACTCCCTTCATTGTCTTGGTTCTACCAGATGTAAACCCAATTGTAGCATAGAGGTCCACTCAGACAATACAGGTTTTTGAATTCTATTGCTTGAAGAATATTAATCGTTGTATGCGTCTTTCTTACATATGATAGCAAGATATGCCAACAAAATATCGGCAATGGGAGATGCTATGAAGTACTTGGGACAGCAAAAGATTTCATTTGACTAAATAGCGTTACCATGGCAGACTGTGGTGGAACGTTCTCAGGGATATCGAAAATTTGAAGACTACCATTTGTGAATGATTTATCATTTTTTTAAACAGCGAGACCAAGCGAAATTTCATACACAGCTTGAGTTAACTGTGTATCAATTTTTATTGACGCCAAACCAAGTTTCATAGGTTGGAAAGTGAGGGGTCAAAGTAAAATTTCACAATCGAAATTTTTTTTCAAAAAATCTATTTTGTTTGAAAAAAGTAGAGAGGGGCATTCTGCTGCGTAAATTATCATAAAAATTTGTAGGAAAATCGTTTTTGATTTCAAGAATCAATTAGATGAAGTCGTCGCTTCACAATGCTATGTTCTCTTTTACCACAAATTTCCAAGAATGAGGTATTATAATTAATTTTATTACGATGCCTTATATAAAGTTGCATACCATAATCAGGCAAAATACAATAGCATACATTCAAATTGTAAAACATTGTTTATAGCCGACCTATTCACCGATTAGTACAAAATGCTCTTAGCTTACCCGCACAAAATGAGCCATTCCCTGTAAATCCTACATTGCACACACAACTCCCATTGCTGCAAACTGCATTTATGTCGCATATTTCTGTGCAGTTTTGCCCTGAAATGTAAATTAAGAAATAAAAAACAGTTTATTCTGAAATGAAATCCGAGGTTTGACCATATAAAAGGCGGCAAAAAGTGAAAGCCGCAAAAATTTCGTTGCAGAATGATAACAAAACAATAACTATTCCAAGGTCAACTGCCTACATATCTAGCAGTATTTAAAAAGTCAAAGAAGGTAAAAAACTAAGCAAAGAAAACAAGATACCATGAATCCTCGGATAAGCCCCCCGGGGCTTATTGCAAAAATGAATTTTTGGGTGGGGGCTTATTCTAGGAAGGAACTTATTCGAGGGGGGGGGGGCTTATTTCAAAATTTAATATTTTTCTCATAGGTCGTCATAAAAACGACATAATTTTTCTAAAAAATATTATAAAGAACTAACAAATATTATAATTTTTTTATCATCACAAAAGTCGCTTTTTGCTTTTTGGTCTCCAGTCAAAGGAAGTAATACTGTATAGCTATTGTGCTGTGGGGGCTTTCTTGAAATAAGACTTTATTCTACAATTATGTTTCCTTCGAATAAACCCCCATGGGGGCTTATTCGAGAGGGGGGGGGCTTATTACGGTAGATAAAAAAGTAAGCTATGAAGAGAAACTAAAAAAACGAGTAGAGAGGTTGCAGTCTAAGTCATAAAGAAATTTTCATTTGGGTGTTGTGAATCACAGGCATAAACATCACAGGCAGAAGTGCGTTTCATCACAGGCAGAAGTGCGTTGCATCACAGGCAGAAGTGCGTTTCACCTATCTAGTTTCATTCAAGTTGCTAGTTCTATTGAGAGTTTACATAAATACAATGCAACTTTTTTTCTGAAGATCAGTGTCAAACGAATTTTTTCCTTCACATGCAAGTTTTCTTCACGTTTTAAGCTGGTTCAAAGTAAAAATAAGATTGCCGTCTTTTCGTTTTGAGAGTAAAATTCCTCCATTTTAACCTTTGTCTTTCAAAGTCTCTGGCTGTCAAAAAGTGATTCGGCAAAAACGCTGAAGGTGGCTCAAATTTGGTCGCAAATGAACCATAAAGCAAAAAAACAAAATTGCAAATTAAAAAACAATTTAAATATGTGTCAAAGTTTGTTTGAAACCATACAAATAACAAGCTCAGCTTGTCAGAAAACTAAGAAAAAATGGTGTAATACCAACCGCAGCCCTGCTGTACCGGGCGCTGTCCCACAGTCTTGTGCCGAACGAAACCTGGGAGCCAGTATGCTATTGAAGTACTGTACCCGCATTAAAGGGGCGTGTTTCAGCATAGGCATTCTATACTGTTTATTCTCTTTCATACAGAGTGTTATATATGTACACAAACATATCAATATATCTATACACATATATACACATCTGTATGATATATTTTGTGATTATGAGTCCTTGCTAGCTCCTCAGCTAATCCACCAGGCAGAGCATTTCGGGGCTTATGATCAGTATGCTCTTTTACACCTGGGTGCCCCCTCACCCCTGCGTCCAGGGATGATGCCAGCAAAGGTGTGTTAATATGTTGTAGCAGTGTATATAAAATATGTATATTGTAGCCATAGAGGCATGTATCATCCTTTGAATGTAGAAGTATGTTGCATATATAGACAAATGGTTATAAAATTGGGATATCTTGTTTATGCAGATAAATCGCGAATAGAAAAAGCATTGGGGTCTGGTGTGACATAATAGTAATGTTGATGGTGTGGTATCGAGGCATCTTACAATGTCATATGATGCTCAAAATTTAGTATGAGTTAACCAATCTCCAAGGTTGTTGTGCCTTTGTAAGGCGAGAATGGGGGTTTTTGACCATATGTTTTGTAATTCTTTATCCTTTGTTATAATATTCCAGTGTTTTTTGAGAATTTCACGGATGTGAATGGTGCGGTTGTCATAGGGTATAATGAAGGGTAAAACAGAGCCTTTCGGTGTGGAGAAACTGCCGTCATTTATTTGTTTAGATTCAAGTAGCTGCGATTGCGATAGTCTAATGACCTTATTGAACTGTTCATTTATATCATTGATCTGATATCCCCTTATGATGAGGTTGTTTTTTAATTCTTGTAATTTTGAATATAGCTCTTCGTCACTTGTGATGACTCTTCTGTAACGTAAGGCCTGGCTGTAAATGATTCCAGTTTTACAACTCCATGGGTGGAAGGAATCACCGTGTAAGAGATTGCAAGTGTCTGTTGGTTTTTGGTAGAGTGAGGTGGTAATTCCCCCCTCTTTGTGTAAGTTTATTGTTGTATCCAAGAAGTGTATATTTGAATTGGAATAATTTGCTTCAAACTTTATTGTTTTGTGGACGGTGTTGGTGTATTGTTTAAAATTTTGTAGGTCCTCAAGGGTGTGTGGCCAAATGAAAATTATATCGTCGATGAATCTTTTCCAAAACATTGGAGTACGCCCCATTGGGGCATTTTGTAAAATATGTTGTTCTATAGTTGTCATAAATATGTTGGCATAGTTGGGAGCGAAGGGGCTCCCCATTGCAGTGCCCTGAATTTGTTGATAAAATCTACCATTAAAGGTAAAATAGTTGTGTTTAAGTATGAATACCATCATTTGTTTGATGTAACTTGTACGCATTGGCGGGGTGTCCCCATAATAATTCCGGATGGCCTCGAGGCATGCCTCGATCCCCTCGTCCTGGGGGATGTTGGTGTATAGAGATTTGACGTCTAGCGTAACCAGCCACGAGTTTGGTGGAATGCTAGTGTGTATTTCGAATATTTGTTGTAAAAAATGAGTGGTGTCTTTTATATAAATTCCTCATAATATATAAAATTCCTCCATTTTAACCTTTGTCTTTCAAAGTCTTTGGCTGTCAAAAAGTGATTCGGCAAAAACGCTGAAGGTGGCTCAAATTTGGTCGCAAATGAACCATAAAGCAAAAAAACAAAATTGCAAATTAAAAAACAATTTAAATATGTGTCAAAAATAGTCCCAAAATACCGATGACGACACAGGGAGCAATGTAGAAGATAACAGACAATAGAAAAACTTGAATGTATGCTACTGTAATGCGAAAGACCATTTTCATAACCTACTTTTCTGGCCACCGTGATTATATTGAGAATGTAATATGAATGCATTAGGATTATGATGAATTAGTCATCAGACTTGCTTTTGTGCCCTTTTGAAATGTTCAATGCTTGCCAAAAGTCTTGGTAAACTATGCGAAATTTCACGCAAGTTCAGTAGCATGTCGTTCTCCCCCTTAAAACGCTGTGATAAAAACAGTTTCAAAGCTTGAAATTCGTCCAATGTCACTTTATCAGCTAGGGTAAGTAATAGGCTTTTCAACCAACATTGTTTTGGAGAAGGGGGATAACGATCGGACATTTATTTCATCAAAATCTTTCATTCGGCGATGATTATTCTTTCTCTTTGTAAAGATTTTAATGCGCTTGTTTCGAACTGCGCCACAGACTTCAGTCATAAATCATTGTTCCCAAGAGAAAGAACACTACAATCCTAATCACGTTATTCAAACTTTTGATTTCTTAAACACCTTCGTAATTTGTTCTCTTTCTTCGAATGTCAGGATCGGCCAATCAGAAACGCGGTTTTCCAGTAAATGCTGCCCTATAGCAGAATCGCAGGTTTTAGTTGTAATTTTAGATTTGCAAGACCGAGGTGGCTGTTCTCTTTGGGAACGAGTTTTCTTTCTAATATTAGGCGGAACATGTTGTTCTATTCTATCCTCTAATCTTTGGGTAGTGCGCCCTACGTAGCCAGAATCACACTGGCACGTAAATTCATAAACAACGGAACTTTTTTGTGTGGCAGGAACGCAGTCCTTTTGAATGGACGGAAGGGACTCTGCTATCGGGCAGCATTTACTGGAAAACCCAGATTGTGCAAAAAACTATAATGGCGATATGTTTCGGATTATTGGTAAAGCCCGATCGTCGTTCCACCTAGCAGTTTTGGAATCTATCTACATAAGCACAAAAAAAACCGCTACTGTGTATACCAAAAGGAGTTCGTTTTCACCTTTGGACTCCATTGGTAACATTCTCAATAGGCAAGCGGCAATGATTGGTCAACCTTTACAGTCATGTGCTCGTGTTTCTGGTTGGCCTATTTCGATCCACAACTGGGTTTATATATTTCCTAGCGTAGAGTTGTCGGTCTATGTTCTGACGTTTTAAATTCTGAAGAGTGTAAGACGCAAAGCTTTATTTTACTAAATGTTTGCTTTTTTCAAAGCCATTTTCAAGTTTTGTACCACGAAAAGATTGTTTGCATGTCTCCTCCCATCCCCAACTTTTCTCAAGAAACAATAATCATTGTTCTTTTGAGAAACGTTGAGTTGCCGATTCTGCGCAGTATAGTATTTTGTTAAACCTGGTCTGGGAGATGTCGGAGCTGCTTAGCCCATCCGTCGGAAGATATATGAGGAAAATCTATAGTTTTGTCGGAGCAAGATTCCGCTACCGTTTGTTAAGTTTTTTTAAAAAAGAAGAAGTAACGGTTACGATTACAGAAATGCCACTGAGTATAAATGTAAAAACAGGTAACTCCCAAGTAATTTGCACACCATATCGGGAAATTAAGCCCTCTCTTTCGGCATACCTAACGCCAATCGGACTATCAATATAAGTAAAAGTCTTAAAGAACACTGGGACATAATTTTAAAAGATAAAGAACAAAAACAGGTATAGAAACATCTCCCTAAACTAACATTAAAAAGACATAAAAATATCGGAGATCTAATAACCCACATTTTTGGAAACATTGTGACACCCAGGGACGTCCCGACCCGGGGGTGGGGGGGGGGTGTCACACCCTCCAACTCTGTTGTTCAGCAATTTTTCAGATAAAACTTACTCATATGCAGGTAAAATTCAAATCAGGAAGAATAAGGAGCAAATGGACCAAATTTAAAAGACATGTCAAACGTTTCTTTTTTTGCGTAGCAACAAATAGCTCGAAGCTTTGAGGAGCATTCACATTCAGAAAGACAATGAGATTACCATCGACCGGGGCTTTCTTGCTGTGAACAGAAACAACCAAACCGCTTATTACTGTCATTAACGGACGTAACACAATAAAACCTTTTAAAGAAAATTTCAAAGGACGCCCTAGCAACGCACCATGTGGGACTATCATCGGACAGAAAGATGAGCGGTAAGTTCTGGATTGATTTGAGAGCCATTAAATTTGAATAACATTTACAAAGAGCACTAAAAGAAATGCGTTCTTGAGAGAACATACAAAGGATGTGGAAAACTGCTTGAAGTTGAAAAACCTGTCAAAAACAAGATGGTCAGCAAGAGCAGAATCGGTAGAAGCAGTATGGAGGAGCCTAGAGGTATTTATTTGTGCTCATGATGACGTAAAAAAGTCCGATGATAAAGAGGCAAAGTTGAGAGCATCAGCACTTCTAAACAATCGCCGTGGTGCGGAGCGCCGTAATATAGGGCAGCGGTAATATGGAGAAGTGACTGTTGCCGTAAAATGGGGAAGTCCTCAGAAAAGGCTTTAAACGCGTGTTTTAGTCATTTTCCACTACATTTAACGATAGATCTTCGAGGTAAAGTCTATCAAATGAAATATCTCACAGATTTTTATCGATTTACCCATTAAAACTTTCAACAAATCTTGTTGGTTTTGAGATTCTAGCGACTTGTTAACTGCGAAACATACAACTCACTTAACTCTACGTGAGGCGTGATAAAAAGTTCTACCTCAGCGATCATTAGAACTTTCTAGAAGCTTCTTATTAGCTAACAATAGAGCAGCAAGCAATCTACTCTAACTACGCGTCCTACACTAGCTACTAATTACGAAGGTCATTAGCTTACTTACAAAATCAGCAATTACGTAACTGTTGAGTGCACGTTCCCAACAAATCTATCTTTGACACTCTAGTTCATTTAGGCCCGTTTTTCTATTGTTTCCTCCACAAATACGAGGTTCATCCGCGCGTCTAACTTACACATTCGCGCGAATATATGACTTCAGTGCAGTAAGATGGAGAAGTTCTTTAAATTACGGCGCTCCGCACCACCCGACCTCCTTCTAAATGACATTGTAAACATTGATTTTGTCTGTGGCCTAATGTTTCTCACAATCATAATGCCGCGCCGCAAACAAAGACCTTAAGTGATTATTTGCAAAGAAAAAGCGTCAATGTTGCAAGTGACTTGGTCGTACTGAACTCAACTCAAGACTGCCTGAATGGGATGCGATCGGAGGATAAAAATGTTAATAACCAAATTGAAGCCGCCATCAGCGTTGCAAAATATCTCGGCACCGACCCTATTGCAGATTTTGCAAGACTTCACAAAAACATACGTCGTCCAGAAGCAGAGAATTTCGAGCTACAACAAATTAGCATCTTCTACAGAACAGAGTTCTTTAAGTTTATTGACAGCCTTTCTGCTACTCTTGCTGAAAAGGAAAAGTGTCTCAGAGGTACGTTTGAACCCTTCCTAAAAGTATTGAACCCAGAAATGCCGGGCAATATCGAGGAACTGCGCAGTCTTCTTTCAATGTTTTCCACAGTGTTCTCTCGTGAAAGCAGCACCACTCTACACAGCGAGCTGGCAGTTTTCTTCGAACACGCAAAGAGAAAGCACGAAGAAGAACAACAGAGGGATCTAGAGAACGGGAAAGAAGTGGCACAGTTGAGCTGCAACGTAGCGGCCAAGATTGCTTTCCATTCCGAGCAAAGGTACGGAATACTTAAACTGGCAGCAAGTCTCTACCGGCTTTTCATCACTGCTGCTCCATCTGTTGCTACAAATGAACGTTCTTTCAGCTTAATGAAAAGGGTGAAAAGCTATTCCAGAAACAAGACAGGCGAAGAAAAGTTGAATGGTACTTGTCGCAGAGAGAGATTTAACGGACAATGATAATTCCGCTCTAAAGAGCTGCTCTTTCTTGCTTGTTGAATATAGCCCTGTCACAATCCCAATGTTTCTGCGTCCTTTTCAACTGGGATTCCATGTTTTCACTCCGATTGCCTAGTCCCCCTGTCGGAAGGTCAAGTCCCTCTGTCGGAGATTTTCTAGCACCACCACTGCCTTTTAGAAGGTATAATTCCAAAATTTTTATCCCGCATCGGGTCAGTCGATTCTTAGCCTCCTCGATCTACTGTCCTGGTTACGACTGATAAAGGCATTTAACAAAGTTCTTTAATGGCTTTTATTTATTTCCTATTGCCAATCTATGCATTGCGATGGACTTTTTTAAATGCTGCTTTAAGTGGGCACTTCCTTTAGGCAGGGCATTCCTCTCAACCATCGACCGCATTGCCTAACCTTTGTTTTCTCGGCTGATTATGGAACACTTTGGTATAACGAATAATTTAAGCCCTTACAACATTTTCAAAAATTCATCAAAGTCACGTTACCGATGACGTCAAAAAGGTTATGTTTCCTAGACTCAAAACCATTGTAACTTCTTGAGTATACGTCTGACTTCAATATAAATGCTAGATTCGGGCTCGCCTGAAGAAGAGCTTTCCAATGATATATACATATGAGTATTTTAACGATGTCAGCAATTTTCAATGATGACGTCATCACTTTCAAAATGGCCGTCGAACAGTACATTATAAGACAAAAGCTCTGATCTAATCAAACGCATTTCTGGATCGTTTACTAATGTCTTCTTAATGTCTACAATAATTTTATAACTCCCACTCGTATAACCCCCCCTCTTTGGAATAAGCCCCCATCCAAAAATATAAGAAATGAATAAGCCCCCAGGGGACTAATTCGAGGATTTACGGTATATATTCGCCTCATATCCATTTATCGCCCGAATCCTCCGACGAACTAAAGTCATAAACTTCCCGTTCATTCTCTAGTTCATCAGAATGTTCAGTGCTACTTAGGTCAGAGTCTACCTGGTCTGTTGTTACCTTGTATTCGTTACTAGCGTTGATTTCGTCGACACTACGGCCCTATTTCGGTACCTCTGTACATCTCTTGCATTTCTTCAGAGCAGGGAGGTTTTCATTGCCACTTTCGACATCTGCCCCAACACTTTCTGAAAATCGGCTCTTGTTTTTCCGTCTTGACTTCAAAGAAGGAGGCAGCAGGGGGCACGTGAAGCAAAAAGATTTCAAGGAAGACTCTTCAGAATACCCTTCTGTAATATAGTATAAACATGGACACCCTATGTCGTAATCCTTGTGATATTTTAATATGTTGTTGTTGTTAATCCTAACCATTGTTCAGTTGAGTTGTTATTATTCGACCGATGTGTACAGTTGTTTCTCTCTGACTAAGATCTTTTTGTGATAAAACAAGAATATAACATTGGCGACGAGGAGAAAATTTCGTTTCTCATGTTGTGTTACAATTTCTTCAAGTAGTCATGTCTCAACTTCCATCTGTTTCGATCAAACCAGTAGCAGAATTTCGTCCTCATGCGGAAGTGGGAGCAAGCCTTGCCACCCGTTGGAACGACTGGCTGGATGATTTCGAAATGTTTTTGGTAGCTAGTGGAATTACTGATAACACACGTAAACGCGCATTGCTGTTGTATCAAGCAGGACCGAGAGTCAGGGAAATTTTTAAGAATTTAACCGATGTTGGTGAAGCAGATGACTTCGACTCTGCGAAGGCTAAACTAACCGAGTATTTTGAACCTCAAAAGAATCGGCGGTATGAAGTTTATAGATTTAGACAAGCAACTCAAGCACAACAAGAAACTCTTGATCAGTTTCATACCCGTCTAAGAACTATGGCTCACATGTGTGAATTTCACGATGCCGAATTTGAAATAGAAGAGCAAATCATCATAGGAGGGACGTCATCAAAAATTCGGAAAAGGGCACTGCGAGACCCCAACTTTGATTTAAAGGCCATGCTGTTAGAAGGTCGCAGGGACGAACAAAGTACACTACAAGTCAAGGAGATTGAATCTAAGGATAAAAATTTTGCTGAAGCTAATAAGCTCACAACACGCCATACACAGGGCTCATTAAAGTGTTTTAACTGTGGAGGATCATATCCACACACAGGGACTTGCCCTGCAAAGGGTAGAGAGTGTAAAATTTGCAAAAAACAAGGCCATTTTGCAAATGTTTGTCGTGAGAAAACTTCAGGCAACAAATTTCGGCAACAAAGGGGCCCTCGCAACCAAAACAGAAAACCAAAGACCGTGCATTCTTTGGACAATACATCTTTTGAAAATATGCCATCATCAGATGAGGATTATTTGTATGCTGTCAATAACGGAAATTCCAAAAGCCCTAAAGTCGCTGTCACGGTTTGCGACACAGTTTTTCAGATGACAATTGACACTGGCGCCGCGATTAATGTTATTGATCAAAACACCTTTTCACGTATGAAAGATGTTAATTTGCAGAAAACAAATATGAAAGCTTTTCCATACAGCAGTTCAAAGCCTGTTCATTTGAAAGGACAATTCAATGCTGTCATAGAAACAAAGAACCGTCTCACTCTTGCTACGTTTTATGTTATGAATGACTCAAGTAGCGGAAATCTTTTATCATCGTCTACAGCAATGGATCTTGGCCTAATAAGCCTTCATTTGAATACATTATCAAGAAACGACACTCAGATTGATGCCATACTCAATAAATACCCGGAAGTGTTTGATGGACTTGGTAAGCTGAAAGATGACACTGTTACTTTAAGTATTGATCACAGTCAGACGCCCAAAATTCAGCCTCAGAGACGTATTCCTTATCATATGCGTCAAAAGGTAAAAGAAGCTCTTAAAAAGTTGGAAAAGGAAGATATTATCGAGCGTGTACCAGCCGATAAAGGGACACCTTGGGTTTCTCCTATAGTCATTGTGCCAAAAAAGGATGGGGCGGTCAGAATATGTGTTGATATGCGCGTCGCTAATAACGCAATTAACCGCATACGTCACCCTATTCCTACAGTAGATGATGTGAGCTGTGCACTCAATGGTGCGAAGTTTTTCTCAAAACTAGATCTCAGCCAAGCTTATCATCAACTAGAACTGAGTGAAGAAAGTCGTAACATTACTACTTTTTCAACTCAGGTTGGTTTATTTCGTTATAAACGTTTGAACTATGATACAAACGCATCTGCTGAAATATTTCAGTATACCTTACAGAAAGCATTGCAAGGTTTGAATGGAGTTCAAAATATCGCTGATGATATTGTTGTATATGGAGCTACACGCGAAGAACATGACGCTAATTTAGACAAATGTCTGGAACGTTTGAAGAATAAAGGACTTACTTTGAACAAAAGCAAGTGCAAGTTTCTAAGTGAAACTTTGGATTTTTTCGGTCAAATCTTTTCAAAAGATGGAACACGCCCTGATCCTAAGCGTGTGAATGACTTGCTCAATGCAGCAGTTCCGAAAAATGCTCATGATGTAAGAAGCCTACTTGGTACGGCGAACTATAGCAGTAAGTACATACCAAACTTTGCCACTATTACTGCTCCTCTCCGAGAGTTAACTAAGAAAAATGCTCATTTTTCTTGGAACACTGAACACCAGGCTGCTTTTACAAAGCTTACTACAGCCTTATCGTCTGCTCCTTGTATGTCATATTTTGACAAAAATAAAGAATCCTACGTACTGGTAGATGCAAGTCCAGTGGGACTATCAGCTATATTGTCTCAAAAGACAACAGGACAGGAGGATCAAACAGTTATTGCATATGCGAGTAGAGCTTTAACGGATGTAGAGACAAGATACTCGCAGACAGAGAAAGAAGCATTGGCTATCGTATGGTCAGTGGAACATTTTCATCTATATCTATATGGACATCCTTTTACGTTAATTACAGATCACAAACCGTTAGAAGTGATCTACGGCAATCGCAACTCTAAGCCCTCTGCACGCATTGAGCGTTGGGTTTTGCGTTTGCAACCATATTCATTCAATGTCATATATAAGCCAGGCATTGATAATCCAGCTGATTATTTGTCAAGGCATCCCGCTCCTAACAGTGGTAAAAAGCAACAAATTATGACTGAAGAATATGTGAATTTCATAACTGAACACAGCGTACCTAAAGCTATGACATTAAAAGAAATTGCAGATGCAACTTCTGAAGATCATGCTCTTAAAGGTCTTCGAGCCGCGATACGATTGAACCAATGGAGTTCAATTGCAAAGTCTTTTAGCAGTTGTAAAGATGAATATACAATTGGAAAAGGCAACATTATCCTTCGAGGGACAAGGATCGTCATTCCAAATTCACTACAGCAAAAAGCAATCGACTTGGCTCATGAGAGTCATCAAGGTTTGTCGAAAACCAAAGCTCTTCTTAGAGAGAAAGTCTGGTTTCCAGCTATAGATGAAATGGTAAAAAAGACTATAGATTCATGCATAGCATGTCAAGCGGTTGGTCAAGCAGCACCACCAGAGCCTATTCAACCTTCAGACATGCCATCTGGGCCATGGGAGAAGTTACATATCGACTTTTGTGGACCATTACCATCCAATGAATACTTATTGGTTGTCGTCGATAGGTACTCGCGTTACCCAGAGGTTGAAGTAGTTAAATCGACAAAAGCTTCATGTGTAATACCGAAACTTGACAAAATGTTCGCTACACACGGCATTCCCGTTGCAATAAAAACCGATAATGGACCACCATTTTCAAGTGAGGAGTTGCGTCGATATTGTGATGCATTGAATATCAAACATGAATTCTCAACTCCATATTGGCCTCAAGCCAACGGCGAGGTTGAACGCTTCAATCAGCCACTTGAAAAAGCCTTACAGACAGCTGCCATTGAAGGAAAAGTTTGGCGTCAAGAGCTGCAAAGGTTTTTACTCCAATATCGTTCAACGCCGCATTGCACAACAAAAGTTGCTCCAAGCCAATTGCTATTTAACAGGAAAGTTCGTGGGAAAATACCAGAAATTACTGGCAGAATTGTGATTAATAAACACAAAGAGGCTCGCGAAAATGAAATTAAGAGTCAGAACTATCACACGAAATACGCAAATCAACGTAGAAATGCAAAAGAAAGCTCTATAGCAGTTGGTGATACAGTTCTAGTTAAACAACAACGCCGCAACAAGATCACATCTCGTTTTAATAAGACACCGTACTTGGTTGTTGAAAGGAAAGGAACACAAGTAACTGCAGAAAACAGCCAAAAACACCGAGTCACGAGAAATGTATCTCACTTCAAGCGATTCAATAATTCTGTAATTCGCACAGAAGAGTCGGAAACAGATAGTGATGTTGGTAATGAAGTAGCAGAACAACGTACTTCTCAAGAACACAGAAATAAACAGACAGAAACTGGAACTGGAGTTATTGGTCCAGGAAATCGTCGTTCTCAAAGATTAAGAAGACCACCAGAAAGATTTGGCGAAGCTATGCCATCGAACATTATAACATGAACAAATAACTTCTCAAAAGGGGAAGTGATGTAATATAGTATAAACATGGACACCCTATGTCGTAATCCTTGTGATATTTTAATATGTTGTTGTTGTTAATCCTAACCATTGTTCAGTTGAGTTGTTATTATTCGACCGATGTGTACAGTTGTTTCTCTCTGACTAAGATCTTTTTGTGATAAAACAAGAATATAACACCTTCCAGCCACAACTTTCGAAAAAAAGTCTTGACAGATAGTTCTACGCAACGCAACCAGCAGTAGGCTATCTTCTTGGAATGTGAATCAGGAAGTAGTTAAATGTTAGTTTCATTTTGTTGTACATTTTTAGTCTTGTTTCCACATAGCTTCTCTTGACCTTGCCAGAATACATTACCATTTGAACAAACTTCTGATAATCTTCTATATCGCTATCACTGACCACTTTTTCTTCTCCAAGGCTGTCAAGCAGTTCAAGGTATCGCGGGCTCTTGATGACTGTCTTCAGCAACCTTACCTTTCCTACGTTGCGGAAATAGGATTTAGAATTACACCCAGATAAAGCATGTAAAGCCTGTAGATTAATGCAAGCATCCCTTCCGAAATGGGAACCATTTGCGTTTTACATGGAGAAAAGCAAAAGCCCAATGTGTCTTCTTTCAGAAATCAGTCTTATAAAATCAATTTGCTTCTAATTTCGATACAGGAGATCGTGGCATTTAAATCCTTGCAACATGTTTTGGTAATAAACTTCTAAATGACCCCTTGGCCCAGGTTCACCAACTTATACCCAGCTTCAGGAGCAACAAATTTGATAAGGCTGTGCATCCGTGCTCGGTACGTTGGCATCGGTTTGATGCAGCGAACTGCTGCCACTTAGTCTACTATCCAAACGGCAGACTTCGGAGGCATGTCTTTGATCCATTGCCCCTCTTCGAGCAAGAGTCGTTGCAAAGTTACTTTGTCTGACTGACACAAAGTTAAACCAGCTGTAGCGATAATGATTGAAAGAGGAACGGTTGTCAGGGGATGAGTAAATGCCTCTAGCAGACTTCCTGCCTTCAAAATGAGTAGTTAAAGGCCTGTTTTTGTGTTCCTTGACCACGGTTTTGTGTTCCTTGACCTTTTCCAGATCTGTCTTCAGCTTTGTTTTTATTGATCGGCGTGAAGAATTAAACGCTGCCATTAATCAGGCGATCATTTGTGAAGCGATGCATATTCTCTTCTCCCATGATCAACGCTGCAAGGAGGTCAGTAGAATTTTATTAATCCAATTCTTCACCAGTTAAAGTCGATTTTGCAGGAGCAGCAGAAAGCCGATTGGTTACATAGCTTTGAAGAGTTCTCTAAGGCTATCATTATGCTTCTGAAGGAGCTTTGTCCCACCTGGAATGCTGTACTTGTGAATTGATGATGGCTTTACGAAAAAGTATTGCTTCAGAGCCCCTCTAAACTTGCTATGAATGTGGGACGTAGCAATCCAAGTGTTAACCGCATTAACGATTGCTGAAGCCAGACCTGTATGGACCTGCAGTCCCTTTAGCTTCTTTATTAAATAGCTCTGTATGTAAATCGCAATGATTTGCAGATAATTTGTTTTGAAATTTCCGCCAAATCCTTATTTGTTCCAATCTTGGAATGCTGTAGTTTGTTCACCCTCACCCTGTAATGATTGAAGTGCAATGGAAAAGCAGGTGCTGGTATGCACAGTAGCGGGCATAGTTGATGCGATTCAATGCAAATGTAAGCAGAATCATATTTCGCACTGCTTGCAAAAGTAGCTTAGTGTTGCTTTTCTGCAAAGCTGCTACCATGCTCAACAAAGCAGACAAATTGTCCAGCTTAGCGATTTCAAGACACTTTTCAATTTTTTGACGATTTTCAAGAATCAACAGTTTTTTGCATCAATCTGCCATTGCTTATGGGCATTGACTGTGTGTGTTTTTTGGAAAAGACGTTGGAGAACCCATGAGTTGATGAAAGCAACCCATCAGCACCTTGATCTCACTATACAAGTCAGCATTCGTTCACATATTTTGGTTTATCTTTGCCTTCCCCATTTCATCCGCATGAACAAAACCATATGTCAAGATCATATCTAAGAAAGAATCAAGGTATATTCCTTGCATACTGGATAGACAGGCACCTTATGAGTGATTGGCAAGTTATCTAGCCCTGTCAGGGGTATTAAACAAAGTAATAAACTATATAATAACTATTCCCTCCTGCCTCCTGGCAATGCCAATGATATAAGCCCTTGGCCTTTGTGCAAGCTCGGTTTCGTACGGACGGCTTCAGGTCCGGTCTTCGGAAACAATTATTTTAGGTTTAATTAATAAAATTAAAAGAATAATAATGAAAAACTGTGGATGGCGAAGAAGGAGCTTCTTTTCCTTTATAAGAAAGTGTCAAGCAAAATCATGCATAATGTCAAATCGCGATAATGCCAAATTGTGCCTAGCAAAATCAGAGTCAGCTCGCTGGTCGACGGCCATTTTGAAAGTGATGACGTCATCATTGAAAATTGCTGACATCGTTAAAATACTCATATGTATATATCATTGGAAAGCTCTTCTTCAGGCGAGCCCGAATCTAGCGTTTATATTGAAGTCAGACGTATACGTAAGAAGTTACAATGGTTTTGAGTCTAGGAAACATAACCTTTTTGACGTCATCGGTAACGTGACTTTGATGAATTTTTGAAAATGTTGTAAGGGCTTAAATTATTTGTTATACCATAGTGTTCCATAATCAGCCGAGAAAACAAAGGTTAGGCAATGCGGTCGATGGTTGAGAGGAATGCCCTGCCTACTTGTAGCGTTGCGCGTATTTCCGGAAGTTAAATGTTACGCAAAGTTCTAGGTTGCGTTATCTTTTGAATTTCACCTAGGTGTAAAAACGTAAATGTTGGTACATTATTATCTGCATGAACCATTTTCATCCCATCTAAAGAAGTTTAATTTTCGAGCCTATATTGAAGTCGAGGGTAATACGTTCCGTAGGAAAGACGGAGAAATGACGACCAATTGAAGTTTTCACATGTATTTTCGACACAGCAAATCTTACTCACTCCTGAGATCTTACTAACTCTCCCCCAAACTACCTTCTACGGGCTATATATATGTGTGCGCTGACAATAGATTTTGCTATATATGATTACACTGCAAAACTAATACCAAATATAAACGATGATGTAATAATAGAACGCAATGGACTATTCTTGAACGTACCTAATGGGGATAAATCCTTGCATGATGCGTAAACAATAGGTTGGCATGCGAAAAGAACATAAGGGATTCCCTCTGACTATATAACATGCTATATATGTAATATGCGAAGTAACTGCGTGCAAATTCTAGTAATTTCTACGAACGAAGTAGGCCTAAACGTTGCACGGCGCATTGAAAAGCAAGCAAAAGTTAGCTATTGCACAATGGTTTGCAGCTTGCTTTTGTTACCTTTACTCAGTGGCGTGGCTATAGGAAGTACAGGGGACGCTTACCTTCCCCAACCCCCTTCTAAACACTTTGGTCGCAGGCACTGCCGAGCAGCAGGGTCACGAGGGGTAACCTTGGCTATAGGGGCCCGTATATAATTCCTCAATTAAAAAAATATAACTGATAACCCCGCCTCTCCATTATCATAGACTGTCAATAATAGAAACAATAAAGAATAAAGTCTATGACTGAAGTAGTATGACTTAAGGTAGAAGCAGTTTGAGTCATTGACTGCTTGCGTGTTAAAGATACTGTATTTTTGTTAAGAGTTTCCCATCTTTGTGGGCTTGGGCAGAGGAAGTTGAAAGGCTTCTGAATGTGTACCAAATATGTTATTACAATAGGGCAACATACAGAACATGTAAAATCATTGCCAAAAGGACTTGGAACACCCAGATATTTGCGTTGTTTTTTACATTTTTCAATTCTTTCCCCGAATACACCTATTTCCACACCCCCTTCCCCCATAAACAATGTTGATAATTTAGAAAAATCGGCGGAATTTCAACAAAGTCAACTGATTTGTCTATTCACAGAGCAATTCAAGAAACTCTGTCGAACAGTAATTACTGGCGCGCCAGCTGTTGTAGCTTCCGTCAAGTGAGGCAATAGCGAAACAGAGGCTCATGTTCGCACAAAAACAAAGTCGACCGTCGCACCAGCATAGGAAAACAAGCGAAGCTCTATTGTAAGATTGAGCCAATGTTGCCTTGCTTCTAGAAACAAACTTTCAATGTTTCGTTGAAAAAAATGCTGTCCTAAAATGGTAAACAGCAATGGTCAGATATCTGACTCATGCGCGCGATCGCATTATTCGCTCTATGCGTATACTGATGTGTGCCCTTGATATCGCACGCATTAAATGACGAAGGCTGGAGTGGTCACTAACACCGTAGCATCTGGGGGTCAGGGGAGGTGTGGGATCTGACTAATCTAAACTATGCCTCAATGTCAATGTTTCAAACATATTTGAAGCCACCCTTGACAACGCTGTCAAATATGCAAAGTCTTCAAAGACGAATGAGTTTATTGCGATGATTGAGGAAGGATAAGCATAATCAGCAAAAATTTCTAGTCAAAATATGTAAGGAATGATAATCTTTTACTGAGTCAAAGATAATACCAAAACATTCTCAAATGATTCCCATGCCAGCATTCACTAGCAAATCACTACAAAACATTCGCTAATAAGGTTGCCATGTGTGGGTGAAATTGTAAATAGACATTACTAAGTCCCTCTTTCCTATTGAGATCATCACCAGGTCAGTTTGGGTGATTTGTTTCTGATACCTGATGCGAAGACTCCCCATTTATGTCTTTGATATCTTAGTTCTTTCATATAACACCATATCTGTGTTGTATTGCATTCAACTTTAAATTTCGTGACAAATTACAGAACTACACAAATTACCAGAAATTGAAAATTTGTTCAAATGCAACGAATAAGAAAAAAGAAACAACAGCCACAATAATACAAATACCTAAATATCTATGAAAGCAACAAAAGTTTAGAAAAATCAATCATCTGGTACAAAGCAATGAATCGAGGCAAAAAAGGAACGTTCTCATTGGTGACGCCCCTTACAGTAGCTTGCGCCGCCATTGAGTGACGTCATCGTGTCACTTGGCTAACATAGCAGCAACAGCATCGGTGAAAATATATCGACGCCGTGATGTTGATG